TCGTTATCGACGATCAATAGGAGCGTAAGTGAGCATGAGATGGTGTATTTAGTAAAAGAGCACTCATGGTGAAAATAATTATGCACTTAAAGAGGCCACACAGTTCTTGAGACTGCAGAGAAAGCACAGGGAACCACAAGACAATTTAAGTAATTAAGAGGCTGTAGGCTATTAATGTCAATTTGGCAATCATTCAGCGCATTCTTGGCTGTTAATAACAGCATGGATGTTACAATCATTGATTAATCCTTAACTTATTTAATGTGGTTCATTAAAAATGTAAAACAACAGTATCAATCAGTTCATTTTACAGTCAGTGCCTGGCCTGTTTTCTTCCTTAAAAAAATCAGCTCCTAAAAAAGCACATCTGAGTTGGACAAATGGACGCATGAGTACAACTTTATGACTTCATTCAACCCATGCTCTGAGCCGGGCTACAGATTGAGTTAGGTTTCTCCAGGGAAAAATCAGTATTAATATGTATCAGTAAATATCATCATCATCATCACCATCATCACCATAATCATCATCATCATCATCTTCTCTCTCCCTCCATCACCATTTAATGCATAAACTCACACCGTTCCACATATCCGCAGCATTAATGCACACTGAGTATCACCGCACTGAGCGGTTCCACATACTAACAATGATGAATCTGCAGTTTCACACTTCACAGTGGGCGAACCCGGTTTAGTGGGTAATATGCCTATACAATTACACTGCAGCCCTAACAAGTAATTATCGAGCAACTGCAACCGTGTTCCTGCTGTGCCAGTACGTAGAGGCACATGCGTGTTTGTGTTGGGGTGAAATGCAGAGCTGGTGGGGGGGGGGTAGGCTGGTTCAGATTTAAATGTAAGAGAACGCATAAACTGCAATTGGCTCCTTCACATGAAGTGTCGCTGAGTTTTGCAATTTTAGTCAGTAGTTATTTAAAAAAAAAAAAAAAAAAAAAAAGTGTTTGAGGTTTAAGGTCAGGTTTAGATTACATCTGTATCCCCCCTTCTTCATTTCAATTCGATTCATGCTTCATTTAGCCCTCTGAATTTACTTTGATGTGTCTTTCTACCAAACCCATGAATTTTTTCCACTTGCAAATGCAGCACTGTTGACTTGTTTTTAATCTTGAACTGCCTTTAATTCCTTGCATTAGACCCACAGTTCTATTTTAGAAGGCTCTTGGTTCATTAAAATGCAACTGTAAACTCTATATGTCTATATGTAACTGATATGAGTATTTATTTTATTCATCCAAGGCAGCCTGGATATGACCATTTACTACCCATATCACTGCTATTAATTATAATTATCCAGAGAGATTTTGCTGGCTCTAACTGAAAGATGCATATGGACTATTTATACAGGAGCAGGTACCATATCAGTGGTGAAAACCAGTGTTAAGCATACAGCTGAAGCCATTGTTAGTGTATAATGCACATAGTGCTTCAAAATAATATTCATAAAAGAAAGCATCTTCAGAGCATCTACCAATGAACAATAAGAACAGACTGATGATAACAATGATACTGAATTATGAAGCCAGACTGTGCATTATTGTGCAGTAATTAACAAATTACAAGTAAACAGAAACAGAGCTGCTGTTTTACTGTTCGTCCATAAAACCATCCTTTTAAAAATATTATTGCATTACAGGAATCATAGTAATAAGAACAATAGCACTAGCGCCTTGAGGTAGTTCTCTGAAAATATTACATACATGACCATTTTTTTCTCCAAATATGTAACAAATTAGACCTCCAGGGAATCAACTGAGTATTTGAAAATTAAACACAGGGAAAGCACTTAGATGAAAACCCAAGCAGATGGCCTCTTATCAGGGTGACTCATACATGCTTGGTGGGTTCAAACAAATTCCTTTCCTTAGTTTCAGACAGCAACTGTGGACATGCTTTAAATAATGACCTGACAATAAACCACAGCAATCTGAATCAACGCTCATGTGTATGCAGTCTTAAATCTTAGAACCCATGCACATGCATGAGCAAGCATGAATGCACAAATGCAGACACACTTTGCGCTAATGGGAAAACTGGACACTTTGCCAAGGCCGGTGCGAACCCACTAATCAATAACAAGCATGTAAGAGGCCACAGGCCCCACGTGGTAGTGGGAGGCACTGAAACAGCGGAAGAGTTACAATCTAAAAACATCTCGAACCGAACAACTAAAAACAGACTGACCTGAACGACCATGACCACTGATGCAGTAGATGATGCAAGCCCTAAATAAGGTAAAAACCCTACACGGCACCAAACTAAACAGACCAAGGCTTCACTGATTCCACAACCAACAATTAAGTATCACCCAAAAAAAAACCTGTGGTCAAAAAAAAAAAAAAAAAAATCACCCCTGGATTTAAAAGGCAATGGATTCGAATGGATTCAGATGCTTAAAACGTCCTCTCAGCCGCAATTTCGGTAAAACACAGAGGCCTGCCCTCTGCCTGCATAAAACAAATTGGTAAAAACCCAGCAACAAACTGGCTCATTTCATGGTTAAAGCGCGGAGATGCCGGAGCGCGCCCTTAGGGCTTCATTACAGACAGACTCTGGGCAGAGCACGCAGAGTGCAGGCACCCGTGCCCAGGCCGGGGAAAACAGACTGACCTGTCGCTTGATCTGACACAAAGCGCACGGGATTCAGTGGAAAATTCGACCATGGCGTTACCTCGCTCGACCCCGCCTGCTTGTAAAAAGGGGGGCGATCGCCGTTTAAAAGCATGCCGAAACCGCGCATTCGATGAAGATGTATTTTTAATGCGACTAAATTGGTGCAATTTTTTTTTTCCCCCCTGCTACAATGGAGAGCTGAGGCCTGCACATTAAATACACAGGCTTTTAGTAACACTCTGCAGAATGCTTACCGCATAATGAGGATAAGAGATACAGATCCTCGTTGGACTAAAAAAAACATGACTGCAATAATTTTTTAAAAAGCCACTGAAAAGCATAACAAGAAGATATATATGTGATATGACTGCATATAAAGCCACTTCTGGCTCAACATGGGTTTAAATGCTACCTGCCTTTGAGGTAGCAGATATCACTGTTTCCAAATAGGACCCCCGTCCCCAACAAAGAAAGGAACTCCACATTCAGGGCTGCACAATGGTAGGTGTTTCACATTTGTGGCTCTGTTCACAAACGTTCATAAGATGCTCGTGCGTTATGAAGTGCAACCTACACAGCCCAGTGTCCAACTCCTAAGCTGCTGCTGAAAGCTAGATCTTCCCTCGGCTTTGAAATGAGGGAAAGGAGATCAGCATGTTTCCCCACCGAGGCGCCATAATCAGCGTTTCCTTCAAAGCGACGATGATCACTCGCAATGCGCTCATTGTTGTCATTCCTCCCTTTCACAAAAGCGGTGCTAATTACAGCCGATTGGTGGAATATACTCTGCTCTTTATACACGCCTCGTATTTTGTGATGGGGGGGAAAAAAAGGCAGTACACCTTAATGTCCAACATGCCCCGGGGCCAGGTGACACGGCAACCCCACCCCCCGCCCCCTCTGTTTGCGTTCCCGAGGGACCGGGCCGCACAGAGCGCGGGAGACGGGCGGAGAAGTCGCTGCTTAAGCGACCGAGACGGAGCAGCAGCGGCCCGGGCGGGTGCGCTGGCCTCAGCCGGCCCCCGGTAAACGTTATTGGAATTCCTGTGCTGTAAAATTGGCGCTTTCATGCTCGCTGCATCTGACAATAGCAATCCTCAGTCAAGGGTGAGGCCGGCGAGCTGACGGGCGGGCGCCCAAACACAGAGAGGTCAGCGCTCGATTCGGGGGGGTGGGTGGTTGAATAGGGGTGGTTGGGGGGGACCTGATCGTGGGACACGTGTCAGCTCATGCATCCCGACATTTGTACCGTTTGAAAACTTAATGAGCGAGGGCGTGACTTGCACAGCGAGGAAATCAAACGGCTTTTGGGCCGGGGATTCCTTGACATATTCTGTGACGTGGAGACAACCGTCTCGCAAGGCTATAGGAGCGCAGCGCCCATGACAGCAGCGAAGCTCTTCTGTGTGCTGAGAATCTTCAAGCACTGCTTTTGCCCTCGTCTCTCTGAGTTCAGGCCTTTACAGTGCCGAGAGAGAGAGAGAGAGAGAGAGAGAGAGAGAGAGAGAGAGAGAGAGAGAGAGAGAGAGAGAGAGAGAGAGAGAGGAGACCGCTTACCTGCTTTCTGTTCTTTGACAATTAAACCGCATCCCAGGGGAACGGGCAACAGAGGAGGCTGGAAGCCTTTCGCATCAGTGTTTGAATTACTCAGCTGGCTGCGCTGCAGGTCCAGGCCAAGCTCAGAAGCTCTCTCCGACTCAGTGTGGATGTCAATGGTGGATGTCAATGTCTTTCCCATTAAAATGGCTTCCCTGTGTATGTCTACATGTGCACTGCATCTGGCTTTTTCAGTGCTGGATCAGGCTTTTCTGGTCTGTCCGTGGCTGTAGGCTGGGACAAACTTCTGTGCTGTGTTGTAGGTACCTGCGACAAACTTCAACTATCACTGTCTGTGTAAAGAGCAAGGCTGGTAACTCTAAGGTTGCCAGTTCAGGTCCGCACTGGGGCAACACTGTTGTACCCTTGGGCAAGGCACCTAGCCCACGATGGCTTCAGTAATGATCCAATTGCGTAAATGGATAACATGTAAGAATTGTAACCTAAGTTGGCCTGAATGAGGATGCCCCATGAGCAGCTGAATGTAAGCGACTGAATGTAAGTGCACAGAAAACCTGTTCCCAGTCTTCTTTTGAGTTTATGCTGATTACAGCAAAATTAATGCACTGAACCAGCCGAAAATCAACCTGCTTTGAGAAACATTTGCATTACAGGAATATGATGCATAACGTCATATGCATAAGGTCACTCATGCGAAGTGGGTCTCTGCGTTTGGTGACTAATGCAAACGCATTTGTCAGCAGCCCAATGACATCCTCACCATTTTCACACTGTGTGTGTTGTTTGCCTGTATGTTTTTGTGTGTGGGGTGGCATTGTAGCATAGTGGTAAGGTGCAGGCTCGTAACTGAAAGGTTGCTGGTTCGATTCCATGCAGGGGCACTGCTGCTGTACCCTTGGGCAAGGTACTTAACCCAGAATGGCCTCAGTAAATATCCAGCTATATAAATGGATAACATGTAAAAAAAATTGTAGCCTATGTAAGTTTCTCTGGATAATGGCGTCTGCTAAATAGCAATGATATAAAGCCTTTCTTTCGTCTAAAAGAGATGGTTCACACCTGCAATACTAACGCCCGTTACACTGTAATGTGGACTCACTGCTGCTGATACAGCTCAGTGAGGAAAGAGTCAACTCCAGCCTTCTAAACCTGGAGACTGTTTAATGGAAGTAAAAGCTTCTTTCATGGGCATCACATTCCCCCCGGGGCTAATGGCTGTGAAACTTTATGCTGTAGGTGGTTCTACAAGTGAGAGAATGTCAGCGCTAAACTCAGAAGGCCGGGGTTATGAAAGGCATGCAATTTCCCTTTTGCAAGTGGATGACAATGTCAGTTTATCCCTGCTTCAAACACCGAAGGACGAGGATATTAAAGCTGTTACATTATCTGTTCATATAAGTTGCAATCTGATACGAGCAAGCTGTCCACGGGCATGAAAGCGCTGCTTTTGCACACCAAAGGGAGGCCGCTGTTTTCATATTTCGGACACACTGATAAAAAAAAAAATGAACCGAATGACATGGCGTTATTTCAGATTTGAATTATGATCAGTAATAACGCGTCCGTATTATTTCCGGTCGGCGGAGCTCACGTGGCTGCGGTAATGAGGCATAGAGCAGTGTGGTGGAGTGCTGCAGAGAACTGTGTCTGTGAGAGAAAGCACACCCGGCCCGTGGCTACTCTCTCTGGATGCTGCTAATCTTTAAGGGCTGAGGAACACTGTGGCTGAGATGAAGAGCAGTGATTTCAATGTCAGATTCCAAGGATTCAGAGAGAGAGACAGAGAGAGGCAGAAAGGAATATGGAGATAGAGATACAGAGAAAGAAATGATAATAATAATAACAATAACAATAATAATAAGAAGAAGAAGAAGAAGAAGATGGTCCATCCTAAAACTTACTAGTAGTAAGTTATAGTGATAATTATAGTAGTAATTATTAGCAGTTTGTATTTTTAATAGATGTTTGTGTATTTTTGAAATATGGTATGTTATGCCAATAATGTATTCAGTGTTTGAAAGAAAGGAGAGAGAGAGAAAGACAGAGAGGGTATTTAAAGATGCTCTTACTGTCCGATGTTCTGTGCAGGCTGAGGTGTGGGTGTTCAATCAGACAATGATGTGCCCTGATCTATTCATACACATTGTTTACAGCATCTTAATTAGTGCGGAGCACCATATCACCTGACAGTTCCAATGTTTCACTTTTCTTTATCTTCTTATTTCTGTATGACAAGTGTAAACAGTATCCGGCTGTCAGCCATCATCATGTGTATGTACAGGACATGTACAACTGGGAAATTTTAATTCAGCAGCCACTGCAGGTGAAGCCACTTCACAGTCACCAGAATGATAAAGTTTAGTCAGATCTGACTAAAAAATTTGACTAAATAATAATAATAGTAACAAAAATAATATTCTCAAAGAATATCATTGTAGACTATTATACAATAATATAGATATATAGATAATAATAGATAATAGTAAATAACAGATAATATAATAAACTACCAATAATAATATAATAATAAACTACCAAAATCACAAAAATACGACGTAAATCACACAGTTCATATGCATAAATGTTCAGTGTAGACCACAGAGAGAGTAACATTGCCTTACCATTACACGTGGGACCCTGGCCGGCCTGAGTTACAGGTAAATACAGCCTGGCCGTGTACTCCTCATCCGAGTCAGAGTCATGAACTGGCTGGGCGGTGTCATTACTTAGCAACGGCCTCTGGTTGTCATGGAGATTGGGTGATGGAGGTTGAGAATGTGCATGCTCAGTGACTGATGGACTGGACAGAGAGGATGGCATGGGAGAACCTACAGAAAAGAAAATAATCACAAACTCAACCAAACACAGCAACAAAAAAGGAGAAGCTCAAAGAAACAAAAAAAGCCCAGAAAAACACAGAAACAGACTGGAAATCATAAGGTAATATAAAGAAAGTGAAATGCACAACAGAGTATAGAGTATAGTGATGCATAAAATCTGCAAAATTTTGTGAATGCAAAACAATGGGGAAAAAAACAGTAAAAAAGTTGGACGGTTTGCAACCAAGGGTCCATGATTTTGTCTGCGAGGCTAACGTTACAACCCACCCCGCCTTCCCCCCTTGCCAATCCCACCAAAAAAAGAATTTTCTGTCTCTCATTACTTGTTTATTTCAAAAGACCCCGCATGGCAGAAAGCAAAATCTTAAAACGCAAAGGTACGACTTTCACAGTAACAACTACACCCGGCGCTCTGTACCGAGGTGTGAAAATTCAATTTTATGTGCATTTACCGATGAGGCATCGCTAATGACACAGGCTCACTGAACAGGGGGGCGATCTACCGCGAGAAAGAGAGAGAGAGAGAGTGAGAATGCATGTCCGCCACCCGTGTGACCAGCTCCTGCGTATCCGCATGAGAGGAGGTATCCCAGGCCACGGACAGCAATCACACACTCACTGAGTCATTGAATTATTCACAACGTGTTGAGCTCTGAGCAACGATTTCATGTTTAGAGTGTAATCATGTTGAGAGCAAGTCAGATCAGAGCACAACCAAGTACAAGGAGTGATAATAAAAAAAGATTAAAAAATAAGACAGCTCTGCCATGTACTGAGCTGACACAGGGTGAGTAATGAGGAATGGCTTTGAAAGGTAGATTTTACTGAGATGCTAGGTTATTAGCACGCAGCTTACATCAGACGTGCATCACATATCTGTTCCTTACAAAAACCGACCACATTCTGTCTCAAAAATACTCCACTGCCTTTTGTAGTTATCATAGTTCACCGATGAGAGAACTATGAACTGCCCCTCCTGGGTTTAAATTTTAATAACTGCAGAATTTGAATATACTCTCAAATGCACCACATTTAATTTGCTACATAAAAGTACTGTAAGCTCCTATTGGTTGACTTGAACCATTGCACCATTAAATGAAGTTTTCTGAAACATCAGACTAAGATGATTAGAGGCAAGCAACTGTTCACCTTGGCTGTTACCTGGTAATGACTTTTATTTTGATCTACAATTGAGTGGCAAAGTGTAGGGCCAAATATGGTCATTTTCAATTTGAAAGACTTCTAAAAATAGCACCCAAAGCCAAGCCTCAGGTAACAGAACATTTAATCATAGAATTTTGCTTATGATCACCAAGAAAGCTACCCCTCTGTCTTCGCAATACAAACAAGCTACAGTACACAATAAAAACGGTAATGGCAAGAAAGAATTTTATCGTTACTGACTTTTAAGTAATCATAAATCTGTAAGCACCAATGGGGGATTTCTACACTATTTACTGTGCTATTTTTAAAGACGGCACACTCTCACTGTTCATTCAGAGCGAGACAGTGTGACACAGTCATCTAATGCGTTCAATAAGCCGATAATACCGCTCGCTATAAAGAGTGCATACAACACGGATACTTTTCACTTACAGAACAAACGCAGACCCATAAACCTGTAATACGACTCGCAAAGAGTGCAAATCCGCTTCATAAAAAAAAAAAAAACACAATATTACTACCAGAGATTACTGGGTTTCTGTTTCTTAGCGCCCTGCTCGTCCCTGCCTCCTCTTGGATAATTACACTATGAAATCATGGTCAGGGTCAAAAGACTCTCCTGTTTGGATCACTGGATTCGGTCTCAGGGGAGCTGTAATTACTTTTCCCATTTAAATGATGACGTGTTGTGGAAAAAGCATGGAAAAAAAGTCTGCTTACAGAAAGAAGGAAAATACAGCATTAATTTCAATTAAGTCAAGATTTATTTATCCGTTAATTTATTTATGAAAGGAGCGCAATTGAGAGAGAGAGAGAGGCTGGAACAATGGCTCATCTGTATCGTTCACAAGAAGAGGCTGAAAAAATATGGATTTGTTTAACCATTTCAGTGCATTTGGAACGCTTTGGGTCACACTAATACCATCGACACCTTCCAATTAAGGTTATGCTGAAAGGAAGTTAAGCTTAACTTTCTGCTAGCATGACACCCACCCATCCATCTTCTGCGTAAGGAACAAAAAAAACTGACTTTTGCTAACAATGTGAAATACAAACTGAGACTTTTGCACTGCAGAGAAGCGCTTTAGAAAAAAAAAAATGCATACGCAGCTTGTAAAAGCGTTAACTGTATTTCTTCATTACGACTCTGCGCATATAGTTTATAGCCTGTGGTCACTCATTTAGGCACTCTCTAAAATCATTCTCTTTTAATTAAGAGAAATAAAAGACAACACAGTAGGAGGCATAAAATGTGACAGTTTTACGGAGGGCGAGGAGACAGAAGTGTACCTCCTCGCTCGGAAGATTTCCCCGCCGGCCTGCTAATATCCCCCATGACACCTCCTTTCCGACAGCCATGCATTCTGTGAGTGCCTCCTGAACATGGAACTCTGGGACGGTTGGCAGGCAGAGAGGGGCTGCTTATGGTTCCATTGGGGGTACGGAATCAGCGATCCGACTGAGGAGCCCGATTGGCACTGAGTGACATGGCCGATCTGACAGATTTTGACCACCACTGTGGCCACGTGGAGATGTTATTTTGGAGTGGGGGGTGGGGGGTTGAAGAATGACCACTCTGTGGTGCCATGCATGGCTGAAAGGCTTACTTTGGTACCACGTACCCAGTCTTTACACTGGTCTAAGTGCTGCTAATGCTCTGTGATTTCCAGAAGTTTTTTTTCCCTTTTTGGGGGGATGAGGGGGCATTTCCTCCGTGTTTGACGCCGGCCCAGCAGTCTGTGCTGTTCCACTCCGCCTGATCAGCAGTATCTCTATGGCTGCAGGCTGATGAAAACAATGAAGGCTGGATGCGAGAGAGGAAGAGGAGGAGGAGGAGGATCAAAATGTATTGACTGGCTCATGTGCTGAAACACGCA